CCCCCCTCAATAAGAAATTTAATTGTATTCGGTTAGCGTGTATGTGCTATGAAATCTACAGTGGTGAAAGGTTATAACAATGAGCAAAACTAATTTCAGGCTTCCAGGTCGATGTTGAAATTTTGATTGCAACAGCTATGGCCGCACCGCATTGTTTATTAAATGTAAATAAAACTGATCTATTACTTTTAACTGAAAATATATCCACCGAAGCCTGCTATCATGACAGGCGGTTGTTTTTAGTGGATAGTAGAGCTTATATATCCAATTTTGTTTTTTTTCTAAATTGTATATTTTTATGCACTAAATTCTTACTTTTTCTTTGGAATTTACTTTTAGTAATCAGAAATAAAAGCCTGAAAAAAATATTTACTATACACAACTATAATGGAGCGTATGTATATACCGTCTGATCAAGCCTTCAGGGAAAAATTGCAAAGCAGCACTTGTCAGAATATTGAACCTGTTAGTTTAATTGAAAGGCATGTGAACAATGAGCTTGAAAGAGTTAGAAACCCACGGAAACTATACAAATTTCAGAGGCCAAGAGAGTTTTCATTCAAAGGAAGGGCTGTTACAGCAGACGCATCCATAAAGCGAATCCGTTACAATGGTAAAATCAACAATTACGCCCAAAGCGAGGAAACCGACTACAATGATCATGATGTTAAACTACTACGAATGATCCAGCGTGCCTGTAAGAAACCAAGGATTGATGAAAAGCCAGATAAAACGGTTGCACCAAACGATGATGTACTTAAATCCAAACTTCTTACGGATAAAGATGTCGTTGCATTTTTTTCAATTCATGGAGATAAAAGCCCACTAAAGTACGTGATCCTAAATCCAACCCCTCGATCACTTGAATTCCGTCCATATGATCTTGTTGTTTCTCATAAGGGAGAAGAAAAGGCTGAGCATTATATTATGAGTGCAACAGGTGTTGTGCATGTGCGTCCGAACTGTCCATCTGAAGTAATATCGTTAGGGGATTGGGTCGAGGAAAAGTCCCTCTTCAACGTTTTACGAAGGATTCCATTTTTTAAGAACTTTTTATTATATAAAGCCTTCTTTCGTTTGTACAAGAAACTAAGGGAGAAAAAGTTTGCCGCCAAACGAAAAATGCTCTCCAATGACTTTCTACTTATCAAATCGACATTTTTAGCGACACAGCAGGATCTTTGTAAAACATCCAACGAGTTATCAAATGTGGCGTTAATTGCATACGAACCACAGGGAAAGCATGACTTTTTTATAGAAGACTTTAGAATGCAGCAGCTTAGGCAAAGACAGAAAGCAAGTGGGGAAATTAATTCAACTTTAGAACGTGTTGAGGAAAAGGTGACTAATTTAATCAATTGTCTGCAGAGCCGAGCAGATGTTCCCGATATGACCACTCGAGCTGCTATTGAGCAATATCTTATGTCTTCTGAACTATCGTCAATAGAACTCAAAAGGGTGAAACTCCTTAAATCGATGATAGAAAGAAAGGGAGAACAAATAAGAAAACTTCTTGAACTGAAGCGAAGTCTTGTAGAATACAGCCAAATTGACGTTTTCGTGAGATTGGTGGACCTCATGATGTCCGAAAATTTGTTCAAAAATGCGTTATCTACCTCGCAAGTATTCTTCAATATACTTCGTAATCAATCTGGTGAAAGCATCCGAAAGGTTGGGTTTCAAGTCCTGCTTCATCCCAAACCTACCAAAATGGATTTCGATCCTTCTGCCTCGGTAGTAAAAAATTTGTTTATTGAAATAGTAAACGGATATTCTGACCTTGTTTCTTCAGTTACTCGACTAAGTGAGCAGCGGTACTACAAAGCCTTTTTTAAAAAAAATCCTCGGTTATGGAATATTGGACTAAAAATCAAGAAAGATGCTCGTTTTAATTTTCTACAACAGAGTATGATACAAATCATAAAAAATGATTATGAATTAGCCTACGTACGAATGGGTACCTATAGTGCTGTACTCCCTGATATCCACTTTCTACAGAATGAATGGACTCAAATTGAAAAAGAGCAGTTAGAGGAAAATAAAGAAGCGCACCATTCTTCAACAAGTCTTGCGAAACTCTATCGACGACTTCAGAAAGCTCAGGATTCATTGCGAGTACTTATGTCAACATTTGTCGGAAACACTTTGTGGATTAATGCCACTAAACTTAAATCTGAAATTGAGCCTCGAGTCCAAATCTTAAAAGAAGAAGTTGACGCAACTCTGCGTTCTGTGACCTGTGACGTTATTCAAAAACTACATACGAACTTTAAGCATAAGATTCAACTCCTAAATGAGCGTCCTCAAACCCTCAGTGATTTTGCTGAATATGTGGATGAATACAAAAAAGTAAAAGCTGAAATGCCTGCAATTGAAGACTCCATTTCACAAGCAGAAGCACTATGCGAAATTATGGATCGTCATCAGGTAGAATTCGCTGAAGATGAAGACAAGCAGCTCAAGGAAAGAACGCTGGGCAATACTTCTATGGTAGCCTCTCTCCACGCAGTTTTTGATGATGTGTGCCTGAAAGCGGAAGAATTCATTGAGGAACATTTGCCGTTTCATGTTGAAACACTGGTGTCACAGGTCGCGAATCTTGAGGAAGAGTGCTCAGGTATTCGTCACATACTCTCTGGTAAGGAATTTGTCACTTTGGTTGACATTATTGAAACTGTTATTGAATATTTAGACAACATTATGTCAAACCTAGATGATATTTCAAAAACTCGAGCCTGTCTCACTCGCTATGCGAATCTTTTCGATCATTCCTCGCTTAACTGGACTGTTTTAGATGAAACAATTTCCCTCGCTATGTCACGAAAAGAAACCTGGACTTTGCTCGATGAATTCAGTAAAAAGGTAGAGTACTGGTTTGATTGTCCTCTGGATGAACTCAATACTGAAGAAATGGAAGAAGAGGTGATCTCAATGCTGAAACGCTCTGATATTGCTAACCGTACAATAAAGGCAAAGGATTATGAGGACGAAATCATACCGCATTTGCTTCATAAATTGCACGCAATTCGTCAAAATATAACAACGATTCATGATTGTGGAAACAAGCATATGTCATCCGAGAACTGGAATGTTGTTTTAAAAGAGGTTGTCGGGCCAATGTGCACTTACCATAGGGAACTTAACCTCAATTTTCTACAGGAGCATGGAATTTTTAACAATAAAGAAATACTTTCAGAGCAATCAGGTCTTGCGACTGCTCAGTGGAAAATTAACAACGACCTTGATGGGATCCGAGAAATCTGGGATGCTATTTTAATTAATCTCAAACCGTATAAAAATCGAGAAGGGGTGTTCATTCTTTCAGATCTGGATGATATAATCCAACAGCTTGATGACCATCAAATTGAGTTGCAGACCATAATGGCCTCCCGATTTGCAGCATCTATTCGTGGTAAGGTAGAAACGTGGATTGACAACCTACGGCTTGTTTCTAACGTCCTCGATGAATGGATAACACTTCAGAAGAATTGGATGTATTTGGAGTTTATATTTTCATCAGACGATATTAAAGAGCAACTTCCGGAGGAAAGCAAATCTTTTGATAAAGTGGACCGATTTTATTGTACTCTGACCACCAAGGCATCTGTTATCCGAAATGTGTATCAGATATGCACAGAGGACGGTCTATTGGATGATATCAAGCGCAGTAATGAATATATTGACCATATTCAGAAGCGATTAGAGGATTATTTAGAAACTAAGCGTATTGCTTTCCCGCGCTTTTACTTTTTATCAAACGACGAATTACTTTCGATTTTGTCCGACACGCGAAACCCGAAGTCTGTTCAGCCTCACTTGCCCAAGTGTTTTGACTCCATCGCATTGCTCATTTTTGAAGATGAGGAATACAATTCCATTCTGGGAATGATCTCAGGAGAGGGAGAAAATGTCATGTTCCCCCGACCAATTCATCCTGTCGGTGGTGTCGAGCAATGGCTTAACGAAGTAGAGGGCATCATGAAAATTTCTCTCCACCAGCACACTCAAAAAACCATCGAGGCATATTCCCGCAGCCCCCGTGAGGAATGGTTTTTCAACCACCCCGCCCAATGCGTTCAAGCGGTGGACATGATTGTTTGGACCGGCGAGGTCGAGGAGGCCATCACCGCCGATTCCCTAGACACCTACCACGCCAATTACCAAAATCAGATCCTCAACATGGTTCAAATCGTGAAAAAGCCTTTAAATAAACTCAATCGCGCGCTGCTTTGCACTCTGATCGTTCTTGACGTCCACAATCGTGATATCGTGCAGACCCTCCATCAGCGCCATGTGGTGGAGGTCGGGGACTTTAATTGGCATCAACAGCTGCGGTATTACTGGGAAAAGGACGCGGGTATGCCAAACGGGATGAATATCGGCATCGCCCACTGCAATGCCCATCTTTGGTATGGCTATGAATACCTGGGAAATCAACCACGACTTGTCATCACGCCGCTGACCGATCGCGCCTTTTTAACATGCACCAATGCGCTCTCGATGAACCTCGGCGCGGCGCCTCAGGGGCCTGCCGGGACGGGAAAAACAGAATCCGTGAAAGATCTCGGCAAAGCGCTCGCTCGTCAGGTCGTGGTGTTTAACTGCTCGGATGGAATAAACTACAAAACAATGTCGCGTATGTTCGCCGGACTCGCGCAGGCCGGCGCCTGGGCCTGCTTTGACGAATTCAACCGTATTGAACTCGAAGTATTGTCAGTGATTGCGCAGCAAATGCTTGAAATCACAACGGCGCTGAACCAGAAATTAGAACGAATGAACTTTGAAGGACACCCCATTCAGCTCAACAAGAACTTTGGTGTTTTCATCACCATGAACCCCGACTACGCGGGACGAAATACGCTTCCCGATAACTTGAAAGCGCTATTCCGTCCAATATGCATGATGATACCGGACTACGCCCTCATTGCCGAGATTATGTTTTACTCCGAAGGCTTTTCCGATGCCCGGACGTTGGCAAAGAAAATGGTGCAGCTTTACAAACTCAGCTCCGAGCAGCTATCCAAGCAGGATCATTACGATTTTGGTATGCGAGCCGTGAAGTCAATTCTCGTCATGGCGGGCGCCCTCAAGCGGAATGATGCCAATGAAAAGGAAGATATGTTGCTAATTCGAGCCATCCGCGATGCGAATGTGCCTAAATTTCTGCGAGATGACAACATCCTCTTTATGGCCCTCGTTCGGGATCTCTTCCCTTCCGTTAAAATAGAAGAATGCCATAACGAGCTCTTACTTGACTACATCCAGCGAATAATGGAAAAGGAAGGACTGCAAATTGTGGACGGGATGATCACAAAAACAATTCAATTATACAACACGTTGGAGGTACGCCATGGGTTGATGTTGGTAGGGCAAAGTTTAAGCGGAAAATCAGCCGTTATTCGAACCCTTCAGCATGCGCTCATAAACCTTAAGATGGATGGCCATGACGAGGACGGGAAGCATCCTTTATACAATCGCGTTCAGGTTCATTTTCTGAATCCTAAGTCGATCACGATGGGGGAGCTCTACGGACATGTGAACGAAATTACGAGGGAGTGGACGGATGGCGTTCTTAGTGGCGTCGCCCGCTATATCACCCGCACGGCGCTTGATAAACCAGACCGACATTGGGTCATCTTTGACGGCCCGGTAGATGCGTTGTGGATTGAAAATATGAACACCGTTTTGGATGATAATAAGCTTTTATGTCTGTTTAACGGTGAGCGTATTAAACTCCCAAACACGGCAACGTTCATGTTTGAGGTGCAGGATCTGAAAGTGGCCTCGCCGGCGACCGTCTCGCGTTGTGGGATGGTGTATATGGAGCCTTATTACCTAGACGGCGATCGAGGATGGATTCCGATCGCTAAATCGCTCATTCGGCGAAAAGCCGAAGCGAACGAATTTATTCAAGCGGAACGGCTAATGACCCTCCTCGAGCAGTTTGTTCCCGATACCTTAGACTTTTTGCGGAAGAATTGCAATGAGTGGATCCCGTCGATCGATGCTCAACTTGTGATTAACTGCATTGAGCTTTTGTATGCTTTTGTTAAAGCACGAGACCAGAGCAACTTGTGGCCTGCCGGGATTACGCGCCCGATCGAAGAAGCGGCTAACGAAGCCGAAAATAATGAGGATCCCAATGAGCAAAGCTATCTATACTCCTCCTCCTCCAACATGTCGAACCCACGCCAACGAAAGAGCGTCTGCCCCCCACCTGACATATTTCGCTGCCCGCCAATCACACACGCCACCGTCGCCGCGCCGAACGAAGAACGCTTATTTGATATGTACTTTATTATGGCATTCATATGGTCATTTGGCGGAAATATCCGGGATGACGCCAGGGGCACGTTTAGCCAATTTTCCAAGGAAAAAGTCTCCCAGCTGATGCCCGGACTGCTGCCGAGCGACCCCGACAAGGACGAAAACCTCAGCCTGTACAACCTGGTCGTTCACCTCCCATCCAAGCGCTTCACGACGTGGGATTATCTCGTCCCGGATTTTAATTACCAGCCCGACGTGCCGTATTTTGACCATGTCGTCCCCACCGCCGATTCCGTCGCCCTTAAAACCATTCTTCACGTTTTAATGAATTCCTCGCGGAGTGTGCTCATTAACGGGGTTACCGGGACGGGGAAATCCCTCACGGCGCTGAACTTTTTGCAGGATACCCTTCGCACCGATGAGCCCGACACCGTCTGGGAGTACTTCGGCACCGTCCTTTCCTCGCAAACCCGCAGTAAAGATCTCGAGATGCGCTTGTTGAGCAAACTAACTAAACTGCGAAGTAATGTGCTCGGCCCCACGATGGGAAAGACGGCGGTGTTTTTTGTGGACGATTTGAACATGCCGGCGTTGGAGAAGTTCGGGGCCTCGCCCCCGCTGGAGCTGCTTCGTCAGGTCCTCACCCAGGGCGGCTTTTTCGACACCCATAAATCCCCCGCGTCGTTCAAACACGTGCGGGATTTGGTCTTTTTGGCCGCCTGCGGCGTCCCAGGCGGCGGGCGAAATAGCATGACCACCCGCCTGACCTCCCGTTTTCATTTATTATGCCAGCCAGCGATGTCGACGAGCACGACCACGCGCATTTTCGGCTCTATTTTGTATGGATTTTTATACCAGTGGAAGAGCTCCGAGGTCTTGGGGCTTTCGATGCCGCTTGTGGAGGCCACGCGGCAGTGTTATGAGAGAATTACGCAGGAAAAGCTCCCCACGACAACCCGCTCGCATTATACCTTCAATTTGCGCGATTTTGGTCGCGTTATTCAGGGAATGATGCAGGCCTCGCCCAAAAGCGCCCCCGGGAAAGAGGAGCTTTGCCGTTTATTCGTGCATGAGGTTTCACGAACATTCCATGATCGTCTGGCCGATGAGGGGGATCGTCAGTGGTGGTGGCGCACGTTAAAAGAAGTTTTGGAGAAAACCTTAGACTTCCCCTGGAGCGAGGACTTCCCGAACCTGCTTTTTGGGGATTACATGCAGCGAAATCGCGTTCACTACGAGGAGATCCGCGATCACGACGCGATCCCGGATATGCTTTCGGAGTATTTGAACAGTTATAACATGACCTACAACAAAGAAGTCGATTTGGTATTCTTCCAGGACGCGATCAAGCACATTTCGCGGATTTGTCGGGTTCTTCGGCAGCCTCGCGGGAATGTTTTGTTGGCCGGGATGGGGGGGACGGGGCGACATTCGCTCTGTTGTTTAGCCGCCTCTATCTGCGATTTGCCGGTCCACGAACTCGTCCTCACGCGGTCCTTCGGCCTCGCGGAATTCCATGAGACGCTGAAAAAAATCCTCATGGAATGCGGAGGGCGGGATAAATCGGTGGTCTTTTTTATGTCCGACGCCCAGGTCGTCCGCGAGGAGATGTTGGAGGATATCAACAACCTCCTGAATACGGGCGAGGTGCCCGATCTCATGCTCGCGGAGGATGTGGATGCGGTGGTCGAACTCGTTCGCCCGCTCGCGATCGCGGCGGGGCGGAAAGAAACGCGAAATGCGATTTTCGCGCACTTCGTCTCGACCTGCCGGGATCAAATGCGAATTGTCCTGGCGATGTCCCCTGTGGGGGATAAATTCCGCAGCCGTCTTCGTCTTTTCCCCTCGCTGGTGAATTGTTGTTTTATTGATTGGTTCGACCAGTGGCCGTCGGACGCGCTGGATGCGGTGGCCACACGGGTTTTGGACCCGGTCCCGATCGACGAGCCCGTCAAACGCTCGTTGGTCCAACTTTGCGTGAAAATCCACCTCGACGTGCAAAAAAGTTCCGTCGACTTCTTCGATGAGCTCCAACGGCGAAACTACACCACCCCGGCGTCGTATTTGGAGTTGTTGAGTTGTTATTGCGAATTTTTGCAGGAGCGGGAGCGCAGCGTGCGGGAGCAGATTGAGCGCTATCAAGGCGGACTCAACACCCTGAGGGAGACCGAACGAATTGTGGATGAGATGAAAGGTCAACTGGTGGAAATGCAGCCCCGGCTCATCGAGGCCGCGCACGATACGCAGACTTTGATGGAAAAGATCGAAAAGGAAAAGGAAGAGGCAGAGGTCGTGCGCAAGGAATGCGCCAAGGACGAGCACGAGGCGAGCGAAATTCAGGCCGAGGCGGATGGCATTCGTGCGGAATGCCAGACCGAGCTCAATAAAGCGCTGCCGATTCTAAAGTCCGCGGAGGACGCCCTGGCGGAGCTCCGCCCGGATGATATTCGCGAGGTTCGCAGCTTTCAAAAGCCCGCCGCCCGCGTTGTTTTGGTTTTAGAAGCGGTTTTAACCCTTCTTGGCGAGAAAGATGTGAGTTGGGAGCGATCGAAGCTCGTGATGAGCCGGATGGATTTCATCAAGGACCTCCAAAACTACCAGCGCGATGAGCTCACGGAGAAGATGATCCGCTCGATTCAGAAGTATGTGAATAACCCCGATTTCCAGCCCGACGAGGTCGCCAAAAGCTCCAAAGCCTGCCGTTCGCTCTCCCTTTGGGTGTTGGCGATCAATAATTACTACGAAGTCGTGAAAGTCGTCGCGCCGAAGCGCAAGCGGCTGGCGGAGGCCGAGGCGAAGGTCGCCGTTGCGAATCAATCCCTCCAACACGCGCGGGGCCGCCTGAACGCAATCGAAGAGGCCCTCTCGCAGCTCCAGTCCGACATGAAGGAAAACATTCGCAAAAAGGAAAAATTAGGGGAGGATATCGAGCTCATTACGGTCCGTCTTGGGCGGGCGGAGCAGCTAATGAGCGGGTTATCCTCCGAGCAGCTCCGCTGGTCCGACTCGATCGTCGCCCTTGACGAGGAGCGGAGCGGCCACGTCGGCAACATCGCCCTCGCCGCGAGTTTTGTGGCCTATCTCGGGCCCTTCACCCACGCCTACCGCGCGCGAATGCTCAAAATGTGGTTCGACAGCTGCCGAAGTTTGCACGTCCCCGTCGGGAAAAGTGAGGTCTTCGATGTTTGCAAAATCGTCGACCCTGTGCGCATCCGCGCGTGGGGCCAACAAGGCCTCCCGCCGGATTCCTTCAGCGTCGAAAACGGCGTCGTGGTGTCGAAATCGCGGCGGTGGTGCCTTTGCATTGACCCTCAAGGCCAGGCCGCGAGCTGGATTCGCGAGCTGGAGAAGAAGAACGATCTGCGGGTGGTGAAGCTGACGGATTCGAATTATCTGCGCATTTTGGAGGCCGCTATCCAGCGCGGGTTGCCGGTTTTGATCGAAAACGTCGAGGAGAGCCTGGACGCCACGTTGGATCCGATTCTTCTGCGGCAAACCTACCACTCGCAAGGGCGTTTGCTGATCAAAATCGGGGATAGCGAAATCAGCTACGACCCGAATTTCCGTTTGTACATCACCACCAAACTGCCCAATCCGCACTACCTGCCGGAGCTCCAAATCAAGGTCACGATTTTGAACTTTACGGTCACCCAGGAAGGGCTGGAGAATCAACTGCTGGCGGATGTCGTTCGTTTTGAATACGCAGAGCTCGAGCAGCGCGCGGATGCCACCATCGTTGAAATCGCCGAGGTCAAAACCAAGCTCAAAGAGGTCGAGGACAACATTCTGAATTTACTCTCCTCGAGTACGGGGAATATACTGGACAACGAATCCCTCGTCGCCGCCTTGCAGGATGCGAAGCGGACGAGCGAGTCCGTTTCCGCCTCGTTGGTGGTGTCCGAGCAAACCCAGCGGGAGATCCAATCCGCGCGCGATCGCTATCGCCCCGTGGCGACGCGGGGGTCGATTATCTACTCCGTCCTCTCCGAACTCGCGGGGCTGGATCGGATGTACCAAAACTCGCTCGTTTTCTTCAAACAACTCTTCACGAAGACGCTTAATCAAACCCCGCGGCGCGAAAATGTCGAGGAGCGGGTGGGATTGCTTCTCCCGGCCATCACCCTCGAGACCTACGGGACGATCTGTCGGGGGCTGTTCGAGAAGGATAAGTTGATCTTCGCCTTTTTGCTATATTCCCATATCGCGCGGCATGCGGGGGAGATGTCGGAGGAGGAATGGCTTTTCGCGCTTAAGGGCAGCGAAGGCCAGAGTTATTTGAGCGATATGAATTATCGAACGCCCGATTGGCTGCCGGCTTTGCAGTGGAATGAGGTGATCGCGCTGTCGACGCGGATTAAAAAGTTCGCCGGGCTGCTGGACGAGATCCGCAAGCATCCCGACGAGTGGAAAGCGTGGTTTGCCGATGACAAAGCCTACGAACGCTTTCCGGCTTTTATGAACGAACTCGACCAAGAGGAAGACGAACCCCTACAAGAGGCAACCCCTCACAAAACAGAGGAGGAGGACGAAGCCCCCAATGAGGATAAACCTCACGAAGAAGAGGAGAACGACGCCCTAAAAGAGTCAAACCCTCACGAAGAAGAGGATAAAATATCGGAAAAGGCTAATCGGACGGAATTCTCTGAGCCGCAGAAGCGATTTTCGACGTGGGAGAAGCTCCTTCTCCTCAAGGCCTTCCGCGAGGATTTATTCAACCACGGCCTGACGTTGTTAGTGGAGGAGAAGCTCGGGAAGGAATTTTTGGAATCCTCTGGGTTTGATTTAGAAGGCTGCTTCCGCGATAGCTCGCCGTCGGCGCCGATTATTTTTATTTTAATCCCCGGAACGGACCCGACCTCGTTGTTTACCGAATTTGCCGAACGCAAAGGCTTTCGTTCGCGCTATCATATGCTCTCACTCGGGCAAGGCCAAGGGGAAAAAGCGGAAAAGATGATTCGCGATGGGTGGTTGGATGGGGTGTGGGTGTATTTGCAAAATTGCCATCTTTACGCGTCCTGGATCCCCACCCTGGAGCGGCTGATGGACGGGATGTTGGAAAGCGGCGTCCACCCGAACTTCCGGCTGTGGTTGACGACGATGCCGACCCCGGCTTTTCCCGTTCTTTTACTGCAATCCGGGGTGAAAGTGGTGAAGGAGCCCCCGAAAGGGCTTCGCGCGAATATTCGCGATACTTTTACTCAAATCCTCACCCCAGACGGGTGGGAGAATGGCGGGATGCGGAATCCGACGGCGTGGCGGCGATTGGTCTTTTCCCTCGCCTACTTCCACGCCGTGATTCAAGAACGGCGGCGGTTTGGCCCGCTCGGGTGGAATATCCCGTACGAGTGGAATCAATCCGACCTGGCGGCAAGTTTGCACACGCTTTCGGTGTATATCCCGCATGAGGGCCCCCCATTGCCCTGGGAGGCGTTGTATTTTATGATCGGCGTCATCAATTACGGCGGGCGGGTCACCGACTTTTTGGATACGCGGTGTTTAGGGACGATGATTACGTCTTTCATGAACCCGGATGCGGTGCGGCCCGCGCGCTACGACCTCACGCAGGACGGGATTTATCACATCCCCGCCGAGACCGCCTCCTTTCGCGCGATTCAGACGTACCTGGCGGAGCTGCCGAACTTCGAGAGCCCGGAGATTTTCGGGCTTCACGGGAATGCCGAAACGACGCTGAACCGCCGCGCGGTGCGGGCGGGGTTGGCCGCCGTCCTCGCCGTGCAGCCCCGGCGAAAGGCCCCGGCCCCGAGCGGGGAGGGGAGGGCCGAAAAGGAAAAAGACGGCGCGGCAAACCGCCCCAACGCCGAGGACGAGGCCCCGACCGATAAAGACGGCGAGGGCCGCATGCTCGCGATGGTGATGGCCCTCAAAGGGCGTTTGCCCCCCCCCATCGACCCCGCGGCGGCGCACCCTTCGAGCTACCAAAAGGCCGCCGATGGGACCATCTCCTCCCTCGGGACCGTCCTCCGGCAGGAGGTGGACATCCTCAACGGCCTCTTGGCGATGTTGGCGGGCTCCCTGACGGAACTTTTTCGCGGCATCAAAGGCGAGGTCGGGATGTCCTGCGAGCTGGACGAAATGCTCGACGCGATTCTTATCGGCGCCGTCCCGCGGATGTGGTTGGAGCGGGGCTACCTCTCGCGCAAGCCGCTGGCCTCGTGGTTTGTCGATACCCTCGATCGGGTGGCGTTCTTCCGGGCGTGGAATGACCACGGGCTGCCGAAAAGCTTTTGGATTTCCGGATTTTACTTCCCCCAGGGGCTCTTGACGGCTTTTCTGCAAACCTACAGCCGCCCGCGAAAGATCCCGATCGATGATGTGGTCTTCCAGACCAAAATGACCATCGACGCCGGGCCGGACGATATCGAAGAGGACAGCGGAGATGGGTTTTTCATCCACGGCCTCTTCTTGGAAGGCGCCCGGTACGATATCGGGATGGGGTGTCTTGCGGAAAGTCGAAAAGGGGAGCTTTTTACGTCTTTACCGGTGATTCATTTGATCCCCGTTCGCCAATCCCTCCTGTCGGAGGATGACGAAAATAAGAAAAAGAAGACGATGTACTCCTGTCCGGTATATAAAACGGCGGCTCGCGTGGGTATGCTCTCAACAACAGGGCTGTCGACCAATTATGTGATTTCGTTGGATATTCGAGCGGGAAATAAAAACGACGAGAACTTTCGAGCGACCCCGGAGCATTGGATCAAACGCGGTGTCGCCATCTTATGCATGCTAGATGATTGAAACCTACTCTATGCCGCGCGAAAGGAATAAAATAATGCGTATACAGAAGGAAATATCGTTTGTTTTAGTTCGAATTTCTCTTCCTTTTTTCCCTTTTCTTTCCCCGACGCTAGCGTATCACTAATATTTCTTGCTCTAATTAAAGCGCAAGTTAATGATGTATTCTATCAGACATAACCTTTAGAAAGGTGGAGCGAGGTGTGGGGTAGATAAAGTTAAGCCTCTTTCCTTTTTTCACGTATTTTTTTAATCTTTTTTGAGCGTATTCACACGTGCGGGAAAAGAACAATGAAGGCACGTATTATCTACCCCAACTCTACCTTATGTTTTGCAGTGATGATAGTATTTTTCTTTTTCTAGTTTTCTCTCATGTTCATTCAGATTCTTAGATAACAATGGACCCATTTTCAAAGATTCAACTCCCTCACAACAAACGTGATGGCGTCTTCATGTCTTTGGATACGTCTTGTTTTTTTACCTCCTTCTCCTCCTTCCTGTATGATGCTTTCAGATAATAAAGAACACGTTTAGAAACATGTATATATTTACCCTTATGTATAATTTTGCCACCCTATTGAAGCTAAGAGGCATGATAGGACACTGTATTCCTCCTGATTGGTGTTGAATCATTTTCCTTTTTTTTTTCTTTTCGAATAAAAAAAAGTGAAATTATGTGTATTAGAGAGGGGGGTTCCCTCTCTCTTTCATCCCAACTGAAATGTCATCACCTGGGACATTCTGTTACAGCTGTTACAACAGTCTTTTCCTTCTCTGTTACATCTGTTACAACAGCCTTTTCCCTCTTCTGTTACTTCTCTTATGAGCTCTTTTTCCTTCCTGTTACAGTGTGTGTGTGAAGGGTGGGTTCCGTGTCACAGAAAGGGTTCAAGTTCATCAACCAAGGATTATGTTCAGGCGTTGTCAGCGTGGAGGGGCTCTTCTGGTGGGTTCGTCTTGGGGTTATGCCACCACCGTGGGGGGAGGGGGGGGCGGCGAGGCCTGGCCTTTCTCACCTCGCCGAAGTCGGCTGTTCGCTCGGCCCTCGCGGTGGGGCAGAGCGGGCGCCGTTTTTCGCGCCGCCCCGATGCTTTCAGTCTTCGGCGGGCGCGCGTTTAGGGAGAAGACGGGGGGGGCTCATCCGCCCGCGGGAGAAGATTCCATCCGGACGAACATCCCGCCGTCCGTGGAGGTCAGCCAGTCCGCGGCGAGCGGGGGAATTAACGGCGTTTACGGCAACCGTGCGGAGGCGGTGATGCGGGGGATGATTGGCCCGCAGGGCCACTCTGACGCCCGCGAGAGCCACGCCGTCCCTATCCCCGGACGGGCCACCGTCGAGGGCACGCAATACACCATCCGGCGCTCCACCACCTTTGAGTCCTGGCATCACGTGTGCGCGGCTCCGGTGGGGTGGTCTCTTTCGAAGCTCGGCGTGCGAACGTCAAAGATGGCCCGCGACGTCACCGAGGCCGCCGACGCCCTCCAACTTCAAGTTATCCGCGGCTGCAATATCTTCGAGATCGACGGGGCGGCCTCGGAGCTTCATCAGAACGTCGCGCGCGCCCTGCACGACGCGATGGCCGCCTTCGAGCTTGACCGTGAGGGCTTTGTGATGATAGTTCGTGCCGGCATCATTCGCGAGCGGCCAGACCAGATGAACGTCAACCGCGTCGAGGCCTCAAACACCGCCGCTGCGCGGGGCCGGATCGTCCCCGTTTACGAGCGCTTTCGGGCGTCTTCGATGCCTTCCGTGCAGCTTCGAACGGGGTTTCGCATTTCGGAGTTGACAGACGACCAACTCGCGCGGCTCGGGCTTCGTCGGGTGAAACAAGGCATCGCCGCCGGGGTCTCGCCGGACTGGATCGAGGCCTACCTGACTAACGTCGCCCTCAACACCCGGCTGGAGTGCATTGATATTTTTTTATTGGAGGGCCTCCACACCCTCTTCGACGACCGCGACAACGCTCACATTGAGGACGACATCCTCCAGGTCTTCGCGTTTCTCGAAAAGCAGGTGCAGGTGGGGAATTTGCAGTATTACGGAATCAGCTCCCCGCACCTCGCGCCGGAGGTCCCGCGGGTTTATCCCGAACTCCCGCCGGACGCCCTCGTCCCAGAACAGTTACGCCACCCCCCGCGGCCGATCCCGACGTTAAATCTACGCCGTTTGGTCGACCTCGCTGTGCGCGTGGGCGGCCCAGGCCACCACTTCCGCTTTATCGAATATCCGTTTAATTTTACTCATCATCAGGCCCTTAGCACGCGGCTGGATTACGATCCCGAGCATTCTCTCGTGAGCCTCGCGCGGGTCCTCGGGCTCACCGCGCTCGGGTACAGCCCTCTCGAAACAACCAATTTGATGGCCCTGCCAGAGCGCTATCATAATTTCCCGATGGAGTACGATTTGAAGTCCGTCCGGATGAACTACTTCACCGTCTGCGAACGCGCGGTGATGAAAGAGATGGAGGTCCGCGAGATGTTGGAAAAGGGCCCGAAAACGCTCCCAACGATGGAGGAGCTTTTCGTCGCCAGCGTCGTTTTGAACGCACAACGGCAGTTCACCAATCTTTTCTTTTTCACAAATTGTATGAATTATATTGTCATCCCCCGATTCCGCCGCGCGGTGACGCGTTTTAAAGAAGCCTCCTCGGCCGAGCTCAAGGAGTGGTGTAAGCAGTACGAGCAGCTCGTCGACGACATGCTTAAGTTGCGAAGGCGGATGTTTGAGCATCAACATGGGAGAAAAGCCGCTCAAATCAACATGGCGATTGACCACTTCAGCCCCACCCTTGCTCAATGCCCGATGTTAAACCAAAAGGCAATTAACTTTGCGACCCACGGCTGTGATGCCCTTCTTTCCGGATTTCACATTTCGCGATATTTTCACGAGGCCACAGAGCTCAATCCAGCAAAAAATGGCGCTTTGGTCATTCCGCCGGACGAAATCAAGGCGTTGTGCGGCGCCGAGGAGATTTCCTTCGCGAGCGCCTCGCCGCCGCATCCTTATATGATGGAGGCGATTTTAATCCACGGGAAGTTATCCAAACAAAAGAGCAAAGCGATGGATATGGTTGTCGAGATCGATCCAAAAAATCCAAAGTTTCCGGATATCCCAGAGGAATTGGACGAATCCGCAGAGGACAACAACGATGAAGAGGAAACGGATAAGTAAATAGATAATAAGGAAAAAATTTAGCACACGGCCTATTCCGTATCATGAACTTATCGAATTTTATGCGCATATATGCAGACGTGAAAATGAAATTTCTTGAAAAGTCACTTATGACTATTTAATAACCATCCACACATTCGAAGAGAATAAAAAGTAGAAGGAAACAACCACTATGCTATCCTTTTTTTTCTTATATTCTAGCGTGTTTTGATGGTATATTTGGTATTATTTTACAATACTACTAAAATTGCTTTTTTTTCTTCTTTTTATGGGAAGTCATATTTTTATGACGATTAGATTCACGAAAGTGTAACTTTATCTTGTTTACTTTACCTTCACCTTCTCAGTAATGGTTCGAGATGAAAATTTCTATCGTTTGATCTTCGCATGAAACCCCTGTATATAATCGCCTTTCGTTGTTAGTATTATCAAATCCTCCCATATTTATTCTTTCACATGCAAATGATTACTTATCATTTATTTCTTTTTTTTCATAAAGAAGATTTTGCCGTCTATATTCTAGATGAGAAAAACGCTTACTCGATTAAAAAATTGAAAAAAACGAGGAAACAATAGTTGATGGAACGACATCAAGGCGGCAAAGAGTGTAAATCAGTTTTTGTTTCTTGTACGCCGCCTTGTAGGTAGATGTTTAACTCAGAATGCTTGAATTATATTATTAAACTGTATTTCTTTGTTAAACTAGTGATATGTATGAGTGGAGCTGTGAGTATCAAGGCGTTGTGAACAAAGTGTGTGAAAACGAACTAATACGTGTAATGTTTAGTAGATATATTTTTATCATACTTTTGCTTCTTTTTTTATTTTATCAAATTGAATATTAAATAGATTTCAAAATGATAAACAATGCAGAAGGGCTGTAGAATGATATGCTATACTCTGAACTATCAAAAGAAGCTTGGAGGTGTAGTTTATTGGAACCTATTAAGAGGATTGTCCCATCAGAGCTACACCATTACTAATGATCATATCAAAACTCCAATAACGATAAACTGCAAAGGGATGAAATTTTATTTGCTATTTTAGAATTTAGAAAGAAGAAGCTTGTTGATTTTGCTTACCTCGTAACTCTGGAATATGAAAAAAAAAAGATTAAGTCATTTATCACTATTATGCGCGCTGCAGTAGTGAGGAGTGATCACGACAATCCTTCGTTTTTTTTTTCATCTTGTTATTGATCAAGAGGTGCATCTTTAACACATCATTCATTTTGTGGTATTGTGGCCTTCAATGTCAGCATTGGAGTTGCCCTAACTTTCTATCGACTATCAACACGGATGGGAGTGGATCTTGTTGAGTATTACAAAAGCTTTTCAGCTTACAAAAGCATATTTCATGTTTTCGATGTGAATATGCTCTCCTATTTTTTCTATTCACAATGTTTTTTGTTTTGTTTATATCATCATGGAAAATAGTTTCCATGGACGCGTTGAAGATTTTGTAGTCTCAGTATGCGGTGCAATATAACAAAGAATTCTGAAAATGGGTTAAATTCCTATAGTATATTAAAAAATGCGAAAAACAGTCGTTCTTAACGTTGATTACGCACTATTTCTTCATATTGAAAAAGCCTAATTTCATATTTCATTTTCTCTGTTGGTTTGTTTGTTTTGCTTGTGAATCATCGGTCTCCGCTATGTACTTCTCCCTATTGTCCGAATTTAATAGAAAAAACTCGAGGGAGGGAAAAAAAAAGAATAAAAGCCAATAACCCCCTCCGACAAAATAAAAAAAAATAGATAACTATGTTCAATTCCATCCCAAAGCGATTAGGTGGCGTCTTGTTTTTCCTGTTTTTGTTATGTCTTGTCCTGGAGGTCCCCGGCGTCCGCGCGAGTGTCGTGATGGAGGCGGAGGTCGCCCACGCCGTCGCCTTCAGCCGCGAAAAGGGCCCCTCCTCAGGGCCCGCAGTGCCCTTTACCTCGCGGGATTTCCTCCTCCGCGGGGAAATGGAGCTTTTTCTCGCGGCCGCCCCCCTCAAAGGTAAATTTTATTCGCAAAAAACAATTTTCATCCCCTGCGGGGCGCATCTTACCGGGCAGTCCTTTCACGCCCTCGCGGCGGCGCCCGTGCGGGGGCTTCTGGTAGAGCTCTGCGATGCCGACCCCACCAATGAGCGCTTTTTTCAACTTTTTTTCGCCGCCAATCGCGCGGAGTTTCCGATTTACTTCCTGAACGAAGGCGCGGAGACCGCCGCGTTGTTGAGCGCCCTCCAAACTCGCGGCAGCTTCGATCAGCTCGTCCTTTCGATCGGCCAGTCGGTAAAAACAACGCGGCCCTTCCGCAATGAAAGCCTCCAGGCCCACCTCCTTCACGCCAGCCTCGGCCTCCGACCGCGGGGCGGCGTGTGGGAAGGCCCCCCGACGGGTGAAGCTGAATCTTCTTCTTCGTCGTCTTCTTCGACTTTTTCTTCGCCGGGGGTTTTAATTCTGGCGAGCGGGGATAGTTTTGGCGTGGCGCCGTCTGCGCGGGCGGCGGGCGGGGGGTCAGGGGTCGCCGCCGCGCTGGAGATTTGGCGCCGACGGATAGCCGCCCTCGTCGCCGACCTGAGCGCGCGGGAGGGGCAAAACTCCCCCGGCCTGTCGTCGACGCCGTGGACGCTTTCGATGCTGCTGGGGAGCACCGCGCGGTTTAATTATTTCACCACCGCCGAGTGGCTTGCGAACCGCACCACCGCCGAGATGGCGGCCTACCGCCTGATCATCAGCCTCGATGAGCTGCTTCTCCCTCCGCACCCTTCGGATGACGGGGCGGGGGGCGAAAGGCCGAATGAACTTCATCTTCACCTCCACAAGGTGTTTTTTAAAACAGACGAGGCCCAAGGCGTCATCGCCCTCGCGCAGCGGATCGCGACGGAGGTTGGGATTTCCCTCCAGGTTCATCCTTCCCGGACGAATTATCATCATCGTGACCTGCGCTTCGAGCATGAGGTCTTCGCCCACCGCCAACTCCCTGCGATCACCTTTTCCGCCCATCGCGCGCACCGTCCGGAGCAATTCCTGCGCGGAATTCGCCAGCCACTCCTGGAGGTCCCCCCTTTTGACAACAAAAAACCCAAAGTCGACCCCAACGATGAAACCCCTAAAAAAAATAATCCGAAAGCGGCCCTCTCCTTGCCCACGGCGGCGCTGCGTGCGCTGGAGCGGACGGTGACTTTTTTGGACCACTTCATCGTCGCCCTGCTCAAAGGGGAGGAGCGTGCGGCGTTCCCGCCCGAGGGGGAAACTAACGCGGGGGAACCCGCGCAATGGGCCCTGGAATACATCACGGGGCAGCTTTGCTTCGCGGCCGCGGCGATTCGCTCGCCGGTGGCCCACGGCGGGCGCGATTTACAGCGCTACGTCAAGACGATCGAACAGCAAATTCGGCAGCTCGCCGCGATCCCTCGCACGGCGAATTCCCACCATTTGGCCATCTCGCAGACGATCATGTCCACTTCGATCCCTTTTCGCCCGAATGGGATCGAATTTTTCGGGCCGTATGAGCAAATCCTCACCGTTTACGCGGCGAAAAGTCTTCTATTCGAGATGGGCAGCGCCATCGTGGTGGGGGCGGTGGTGACTCTCTTCGCACTGAGCGAGTTTGGGGTTGATGGCTTACGTCAAATCCTCTTCGGCGAGGACCCAAATAATGCCTCTAAATAAACCTTGAGGAAGTGAATTGCTTCGGTGGTGATTGTGGTTGTTGGTTTTCTCCCTTCCTTTGACTTTAAAATGATGTTGGAAAGTCATTTCCGAGGTTTCCAATTACCGAGTTCTTGTTTCTCTCTTCTAAATAAATGAACTGTGGAAGGAAGAAGAGACCGAACGGGAAGATCCCAATTGGGTGAAAAAAATATTTAAAATTTCTTATGCTTAACTTCATGGAGAGTCTTAACTTATAACGTTGTAATCTTTTTTAAAAAGTTGATGCTAATTCTTTGAACTTGATTAGGCTTCCGTCAAATAATACATCATCCTAATCAATATTACTAATAACGCGTTGTGGGGTCAACGATACCTCCTTTTATCCTCACCCCCTGACGGTTCGTTCTCTATTGATCTGACAGTAGGAAGTAACTTACACTGGGGATAGTGCCGGTTTGCGTCTTTTCCGCGCGTTGTACAAAGCCGCGTCGGCCCACCTCTGATATCTTCACCCCACGAGGCCTCTACGGGCGTGGGACTTTTAATTGCGAAAAGACCGGGGCCCATCTTCACCCCCTTTCCCCCCTTTTTAATTGTTCGCTTCATGACTGGGCTACTTCAGCGGGGCCTGGGGATCGGCCTGGTTCGGCTGCCCCGACGCGCGGGGCTTTTTTTGCCCCAGGCGGGGGGGGCGCTCGCGCGGATTTTCCGCTTTCACGGCCAAACGGGCGATCGCGCGCGGCCGATTTCGGTCGAATTTATTTTGCCCGACGGCGCCGTCCGGGCGGTCGTCGCGTACGAAGGCCAAACCCTCCTCGACGTCGCCGCGGAGCATGAGCTGCCGGTGGAGGGCGCCTGCGCGGGCTCCTGCGCGTGCTCGACCTGCCATGTTTACCTCGAGGACGAGGACGCCATGGAGACTTTCCCCGAGGCCACGGACGAGGAGAATGATATGCTCGACCTCGCCTTTTTCCCCCAACCAAACTCCCGCCTGGGCTGCCAACTTCGCCTCGTGCAGGCTAAACATCAGGGCCTCCGCGTGCGGCTCCCTAAGGCCACGCGAAACCTCTACGTCGATGGGGCAAGAGTCGCCCCGCACTAAAGAAAGGGGGGAAACCTAACATCATAACCTTCATAAAAATGATAATAATAATTGCAATAGTATCATTTTGCTTTGGAATACCTTGCTTTGGCCAAAGATGGCTTTTCTTCCTTATTCTTTTTCCTTTTGGTGTGGTAGAGCACGAGCCTAACTCTTCGACGTGAAGATAATGATAATTTATCGAACCGAGTCGCGATGTTGCCTTTACCATTTTGTAAAGGGTACTTCATATTGAGTATTAATTCTTAGTTGTCTTTCCTTGTTCACTGAAAAATAAGCCTTCCCTTTTCATTTTTTCCTTCTAACCTTATAAACAGTGAGGTCATCGAGAGATTTTTTTTACCATTTATACATTTGGATGGCTTTAACGCGTGTGCCTGTCGACAACGTGTATGACAAAGTGTGTGTACCTACATGCGTATATGAATACTTATGGATAGTTAAACATATAAATATGAGTGAAACCAATTGAGAAGGTTTAATCATGTTCTATTTGTCAAAAAACAAGTATGTTAGTATGAAATGATTACTCCATTATATATATACATATATATATATATATATATATATATA